CCATACCCAGATGTACTTAGGGGATACACTTTCACTATTGCTCTGGACACTGAGTGTGTGTGTGTGTGTGTGTGTGTGTGTGTGTGTGTGTGTTAGCGCGTGCACGCGCGCACTTATTTTTGAGCAAACACCCAGCAGTGTTCAGGGTTTACTCTTAGCTCTGCACTCAGGGGTTTCTCCTGGTGGGGCTCTGGGGACCCTATGGGGCGCCAGGGATCGTGGGTTGGCCACATACAAGGCAAATGTCCTATCTGCTGTACAATTGCTCAGGCCACCTTCCACCTAAGCTTTTTCTTCTTCTTCTTCTTCTTCTTTTTTTTAAAACTATACCCAAGAGTTCTCAGGGAGTATTCCTGGCTCTGAGCTCAGGGATCCCTCCTGGAAGAGCTCAGGGATCAAACTTGGGTCAGCAAAGCAAGTGCCCTACCCGCTGTACTATCTCTTCAGCCCTAGACTGCATTTTAAACATAACTTTTTTTTTTTTGGTACCATCCGTATAAGTAAAACATTCACTCTACCACTGACTCCATCTCCAGCTTGTATATTTTTCTCTTTACCTGCTCTAGGAAGCCAAAAACTTTCTGGGACTCACTTCACTGTGATATCTGCTTTACTGGTGGTCTGGAATAGAATCTCCGTTCTCTCTGAGGTATGTCTGTACACTGACAGCTAGAGGCAGCAACAGGCCTAAAGGATGGAGAGGAGCAGACTCTTCTGAGAGCGGTTGGAAAGAAAGGAGTGGACGAGTGGTGGGGCAATTACCTTGAAGTCTGAAATCAGGAGTTTGGTCCTGGGCATTACCCAAGACTGTGGATGGACATACCAGCAAGGACACCCCTTACCCCCAGTGTACCACCTCCAAATGTGTCACCCTAAGTGTGTGAACCCTAGCACTGCAACAGCAGACAACAACAAAGGGAGGAGGAGAAAGAAGAGGAAAATTATAAATACCCATTCCCACTTTATGAGGTGGTGGACTGGAAGAGTTGAGTAGTCAGGTACTAAAGATAAGAAATCGGGGGGGGGGGGCTGGAGGGGCCAGAGCAATAGTACGGGGGGCGGGTGCTTGCCTTATATGCAGCTGACCCGGGTTGATCCTCAGTACTCCATAAGGCACCCTTAGCATGCCAGGAGTGATCCTTGAGGTGCCGAGTCCGGACTAACCCCTGAGCACTGGCCCCCTCAAAAAAAAAAAAAAGTTGCTGCTGGAGGCCAGGTGAGGAAAGGAGAGCCCAGAACTAAAACTCCCATGGAGGGAAGGCTCCCTGCAGCCAAAACCTTCACTGGAGCGTCTGGAAGACAGTCCTGATCTACCTGGCATTTCCGAAAGGCCGTGCAAAGGGGGAAGTATTGAGCTGCTATGTCCAGGCCAGGAAAGAAAAGATGGTGAAAGCTCTTATTCCTGTCATGAAATCAATGAATGACAACAAGAATGGCCGTGTAGGAGAGGCGAGGGCTTACTGAAACTGCCTGACTAGAGCCGCACCCCAGGGAACAGAGAAATGGTACAATGGGCAGGGCTTGCCCTACCTTGCACATAGTCAACCCAGGTTCAATCCCCAGCACCCCGTATGGCCCCCTAAATCACGCCAGGAATGATTCCTGGGAGCAGAGTCAGGAGTGAGCCCTGAGCACCACCAGGGCTGCCCCCTCACCCCTCAATAAAAAAACGAGAGATGCGCCTCCAAGGCCACAAACCACAGCAAACGCCCCTCGGCCAGCAAGTGTGAGTACCCGGAGTGAGCGTCACTGCTGTACCTCTCAGCTCCCCCTCCCTGGACCAGAGGACATTTTCCGGAAGCGGATGGGCAGTGACTTGCTATCACTGGACCACTGTCTCTCAACTGAGTTCCTGTGTGTAGAAAACAGCGGAAATTTGTCCTTGCCACTACCGCCAGAATTGACACCAGTGTGTGAAAAGCCCAAACCATCTCACTGATGTGAACTCCGAGAAGCTGTGTGAACCCAGACACCAGGAAGAGGAGACCTTAGACCCAGAGAAAGAGGAGGAGAAGGAGGAGGTGTCAGATCAGAGCAAGGTGGATCAGAATACTACAGATCTGTAAATCCTGCTCTGAATCAAAGCTATTCCCCAGCCCCAGGGCTACCCACGCTCCGTATTCACTCTCGCAAATGGCCTGTTCATCCCAGATGGGCATCCTTCCTTACAGACAACCAAATAAGGGACCTGCAGCGAACGTGGGTTCGAGCTCCCACATCCTGTGGTTCTTCCCAGCATCGCCAGGAGAATTTCTGAGTACAGAGCCGGGAGTAACTCCCAAGCACTGCTGGGTGCAGTCCCCAAACAAACAAAATGAAAAAAAAAAAAATAAAAAAAGAAACAACCTAATAATTCATTCATTTCCAAAAAAGAAGAAAAAAAAGAAACTGCTGAATTGGCAACCAATCAGGTCTGCGGGAAGATTTGAGGGTGACTCCTAAGTTTAGTTTGTTTACTTTTGAACTTGGTTATTTATTTTTGTGGAGGGGCCACATGTGGAAAAGCTCAGAGCCACACTGGCAAGGTCCTGGGGGCTCGTTCTTGGCAGAACTCAGTGGGACATGCTGTGCTGGGGATGGACCCACACCAGAGGTCTGCGCTCCCGTCCTCTGAGCTATCGCCGTGGTCCTATTTATTTGTGTGGGTAGTTGCCACACCCCTGGAGGTGCGACCCTCCTTCTAAACGAATGCCTGCGTGTTTCTTACGTTCAGGCTCTACTCTCAGGCCATTTCTATCCGTGTTTTATTTTGGAAAACAATTCATCTCTGAGCCCTTTGATTTTCCAATTGATCAGGAAGGACAAACCCATTTCAGGTCTCAGCAGGATGAGCTGCGGAGAACTCTGAAATCTGCCCTGGAACTCTGATGGGGTAGGTGCTGCTTCTTCCTTTGCCTTCTGTGTTCAAAGTGAGGGAAGGACTTTATGTAAGAACCCCCTAAGTGCTCCCCTTCATCGGCTCCCCTGAGCCCCCTCAACTCCAGAGAATTCTGAGTGTTAATGGAGAGAGAAAAGACCAGGTCGGAATCACTCCTTTGACCTCAGCCCCTGCCTTGGCAGCCCCGACGGCACCAAGCAGTATTCTGGGCTGGAGGAAAAGCTATATAGGACCGGCCGTCCTCTGACACCCCTCATCCACAAAGAGCAACAGATCCCCAGGGGGGGCCTGGCCCGTTGGGTGCCAGAAGGCAGGGTCCAGAGGGTGAAGAGGCACGGGGGTCCACGTGATGTTTAGATGAGGAAGATGGGTGGTGGTGGAGGAGGAGAAAGGGAGGGTGTGTGTGGGGGAGGGGGGAGACAGACTCTATTGTGGCAGGAAATAGAAGAGTCATTTGGGACCACCCAGGCAGCGGTGGTGTGGGTGGGGGTTATGTGTATGTGCGTGTATGCACATGTGTGTCCTGGGGCCGGGGGCAGGCAGGCACAGAGAAACATCTGCTCTGGACCCCAGGGCTGGCCTAGAGTGTGTATGTGTGTGTGAGTCTGCCGAGTGCTGGGGGTAGGGTGGGGATGGGGTGTGGGAGCCCCACAGGCAGGCAGGCAGGCAGGCAGGCAGGCTCCAAGAAACATCTGCTCTGGATCTAAGGGCTTGCCAGCGTTGAAATAACTCAAGGGTGAAAGACTAACCTGGGCCCTGCCTTTGGGTGTGGTCCAGGGTTGGCGGGGAGGCCTTGGGGGAACCCACAAATCCAAATTTCTCAGGGAAAACCAGAAGGGCGTTTGATTGCTAAAGGGATGACATTTAAAGTCAAGGTCCAGGAACGTTATGGGACTGGAGAGACAGCGGGAAGGGCGCTTGCCTCGTACACAGATGACCCGGGTTCGATCTCTGGCACTTCATACAGTCCCCTGAGCCCTGCCAGAGTGGCCCTTGAGCAGACAAGCAGGAGACAACCCTTGGCACAAAGCCAGGAGTCAGCCCTGAGCACAACCACACCTAGGAGTGGCCCACCCCTGCCCCCGAAAGAAAGAAGAGTTATATCATATGAGCACTGCAGCATTCTCGTTGGCACTGCCCTCCCGTTGTTCATCGATTGCTCGAGCAGGCCCAGTAACGTCTCCAGTGCGATACTTGTTGTTACTGTGTTTGGCATATTGATAAGAAATCTTTTTTTTCCTTCCTCTAATGCTTTCACTATAAAGTGAGAGCTGGCACCATCTGACTCTCCCGTGGCTTCAAAGTGTGTATTCTGCAGGTTCGATTCCCAGCACCCCATATGGTCCCCCGAGCACCGCCAGGAGCAATTCCTGAGTGCATGAGCCAGGAGTGACCCCTGAGCATCGCCGGGTGTGACCCAAAAAGAAAACAACAACAACAACAAAGTGTGTGTTCTGTGCTGCCGCTTGGCTGGGGCCAAAGGACCCCTCCTGGGAAGGAACCACATTCACTCAGTTTCCCCAGCCTTGGGGTTCTAACTTTTCTGTTTCTCTTCGTTCGATGTGATCTCTCTTGTCTTCTCTGAGGCAATATACAATGATATTCCATTCCGTATGATCCTGTATATCGGAGCCCAGTACATAACCTACTCCCCCTGCCCCTGAAAGGAGGGTCTTGTCTTAGCTGCCTCTGCAGACCCTGCCTTTGCGCTGTCAGCATACCACCAGGGAGAGCGCTCCAAGGGTGAGGGTGCATGGCTTGCATGTCCGAGGCCCTGTGCTTTGATTCCGGGCACTGCCTGCCCCCCTGGGAGTCCCTAAGCACCGCTGGGAGTGACCCAGGACCCTCCGAGCACTGCTTGGGAGGCCGCCCCAAACGCACAAAGGTTGGGAACAGATGTAAAATAAACACACTGAGACTCACAGATAACGACGCTATAAACTCCTTTCCTTTTAGCTGCAGATGTCTGTCTCCAGGTGCGGGAGGGGGCAGAGATCCCGGGGCCAGAGCTGGGCCCCCCGCGCCAGCCCAGGCTGCTCCATCTCCATCCCAGCTCCTTGCCCTGTCCTTGTCTTTGGGCTCACCAGACCCTGCCAGCTATGGGCGAATAGTCACGACTCACCTTCTACCCAGAGCTGCTCTAGGTCCGTCTCAATGACGGCCAGGCGGAGCCCGAGCGCCAGGGCCCCGAAGGCCAGCAGTCCCAGGAAGAGCACTTTGCCACAGTGTCTCTGGATCCTGCAGCCCAGAGAGAAGAGCAGGCCCTGGAAGTACGCGCGAAGCCAGAGCGGAGCCTTCAGGCTCCCGGCTAGGATCTGGGAGGGAAAGAGGAGCGTTAGCCAGGCACGACGGCAACAAAGCAGGAAACCCTTTCCTGTTCTCACCGTGCACACCCTGTGCCCAGCCCCAGCTTCTGGGTTTCTGCGTACCCGGACTTACACAGACACGGGCCCAATACGGAAAAGAGACCGAACTCCATCCCTTCCAGCGCGCGCGCACACACACACACACACACACCCATGATCCCATGATGCCCTTTCAGTAACAGGAATGCAACCGGTCAGTTACACAGACACAGGCCCAATATGGAAAAGAGACCATCCCCTCCAACACACACACACACACACACACATACACACACACACACACACACACACACACCATGATGCGCTTTCAGTAACAGGAATGCCACCGGTCACTTACAGACACAGGCCCAATATGGAAAAGAGACCGAGCTCCATCCCCTCCAACACACACACACACACACACACACACACACACCCCCACACACACACCCATGATGCCCTTCCTTTCAGTAACAGGCATGCAACCCCCAGTGCCTAAAAGGGGGAAAAAAAGAGAGAAGCGTCCGCCGTAGAGGCAGGCCGGGGGGCGGTGGGCGGGAGGGAAACTGGGGACACGGGTGAAGGGCCAGGTGCGGGGACATCGGAAGGCTGAGACTCAAGCGGAACAACTTCGGACCTCGAGGCGGACACTGGTGCAGGGAGGAGCGCGGGAGCACTGTAAGGCCGAAACTGCAGCATGCACAGCTTTGGACCTGGGGCGACTCAACAGGCTCCCGGGGCAATTCTACAAAGAGGCACAGATCCCTTTTCTGCGGGGGATCCGCTCGCACCCGAGCCTGCCCTCTGGGGGCCGGAGGGGGACACATCCCACGCGCGCCCCGCAGCCCCGCGGGGCCCCCGCGCCCGCCCGCCCGCGCCCCGCCCCACGCTGCCCACGCCCGGCTTCGCGGCGCTCACCTGGGGGGCTGCGGCTCGAGCGGGGGGCGCGTAGCTGGGGGGCAGCGGCCCCAGGGACGGCGGCCGGGCCATGGCAGCCGGGAGCGGGGGCGCGGGCACCCCCAACCCGCGCTATCTGGGGTCTCCCATAGGCGGCCCCGCGCGGGGGTCCCAGGAGCGCGCTCCGGCGCGGCTCCAGGCGGCGGCTGCAGTGCCCGGGACGCGTCTGGAACTGCAGAAAAAGGGAGCGGGCCGGGCCGGCGCCCTCCCATTGGCCCAGGGGCCTGCAAATTACCCGGAGCCGCGCGGCCGGATCTGCTGCTAGGCAACGGCGCCGCGGGGGGCGGGGCGGGAGACCACCCAGGCTGGGCCACCCCCGGCCTCGCCCGCCGCCGGCCCCGGCGCCCCGCGAGCGCTCTGGGGAGGCGCAGGGCCACGGCCCGGCCACAGGAGGCGCAGGGTGCAGCTGAAGCTCCCGGAGGCCTCTTTTTTTTTCTTAAATTTAATTTTTTTTTTTTTTTTTTTTGCTTTTTGGGTCACACCCGGCGATGCACAGGGGTTCCTCCTGGCTCATGCACTCAGGAGTCACTCCTGGCGATGCTCGGGGGACCCTATGGGATGCCGGGAATCGAACCCGGGTCGGCCGCGTGCAAGGCAAATGCCCTACCCGCTGTGCTATCTCTCCAGCCCCTATTTTTTGCTTTTTGAGTCACATCCAGCGATGCACAGGGGTTACTCCTGGCTCTGCACTCAGGAATTATTCCTGGCGGTGCTCAGGGGACCCTATGGGATGCTGGGAATCGAACCCGGGTCGGCCGCGTGCAAGGCAAACGCCCTACCCAGCCCCACCGGAGGCCTCTTTGCAGCCTTCCTAGCACGCCCCCGACTCGGCCCGCTGGGAGGCTCCGGGAGGCGCTGGGAGCCAGAGTCCTTCTCTCCAAAGCTCCAAAGTGAACGTCGGTTGGTTGGTTGGTTGGTTGGTTGGTTGGTTGGTTGGTTGCAGGCCCTTCCGGAGATGCTCAGGGCTTACTTGGGGCTCTGCACTTGGGGGGATCTTCCTTGGCGGGGTTCCCGGACCCTAGGGGATGTCGGGGATCGAACCCGGGTCAGCAAGGCAAGTAAGCGCCTGACCCCCTGTTCAATTGCTCCAGCCTCTAAAGTGAAAATACCTTCAAAGCACAAAGCCCACTTGGCTGTACAGCCCTGCAGGACCCCAAACAAGCTTCTCTCCCACTGGGCCCTCACACCAACCTCACTGGCCTGCCCGCCCAGCACAACCGCCAGAATGTTCCAGACGCACCCGGAGATTCTGTTGAGTGTCTGCTTTGGAACACATTTGAGAACTCTTGGCAGAGAACCTTGATACTGAGCGGGAATCAATGACCTCTTCTTTGAAACACTTCTTGGATTTTTTTTTTCTGGGGGTGGGGGTGGGGGGTTGGGGACACACCCGGGATGCTCAGGGGTTTCTCCTGGCCCTGCACTCAGGAATCATTCTTGGCGGGTGCCTCGGGGACCATAAGGGATGCTGGGGATCTGACCTGGCCTGCCAGTGCAAGACAAGAGCCCTACCCGCTGTACTGTCACTTCGACCCTTCTTCTTTCTGGGCCTTATAGCACTCGATTTATAATTTTGTTATAGTATTTCTGACACAATTCATGTACTTGAAAGACTAGACAGTTAAGTGGGTTCTCAATAATTGCTGAGTGAGTCATTGAGAATTGCCGAAATCAGGGTGAAAAGGACAAGAAACATGGAAAAGATACTTAAATACTTCCATTAACTATCCCATCTGAAAATACTGTTTCTTTTTTGAAAATACTGTTTCTGCCAGCTTCCTTCCAAACTGATACCAGATTGAATAAAATCAGTATTCCAGTGTCATATTTGGGAAAGAGAAAAATAATCTCCTATAAATGCATTCCTCTACTATTATCTGCGATCACACTACTATTATCTCTGGCCAGTTTCTTGGTTGGTTCTTCCAGACTTGTTTATCATTGCATCATGAACAGTTCGTGTTACCACATAATCTTGTATCAATCATTTGTAGAATGTCCTTAGGACAGATTCCTAGAATTGGGGGTGTTAGGTCAAAGGCTCTGAACAATTGGATGGCTTCAGCTGCACACACTGACCAACTGTTTCTGGAATACTTGTGTTTGTTGACATCATTCCGAGAGCCTCATCCTGGGGCGAGGGAATCTTTAGGCTGAGGGATCAACAGCTAATAGGTTCATCACTTTCGTTGGTCCGCCCCTGCCATAAAATGCCTGTGGAGGAACTCATACACGTGTGATGCTGTGGGCCCAGGGCACCTGCTCTCTAAGAGCTGCTTATTCATCCCGTCCTTTCTCCCTTCGTCATCTGGAGTGAATTCTTGGTGGGTAAATGAAGTGTGTACCTTGAGCCATTCTCTGGAAGTCTGAAGACAAAAGTATATGTATCAAATAATTTCTACACTAGTTTGTTCTTGGGGCAATAGCTATAGACTTGTACAGAGGCTTTCTGTAAATAGTTCCTTTTTTTTGTTTTTTGTTTTTGCTTTTTGGGTCACACCCGGCGATGCACAGGGGTCACTCCTGGCTCTGCACTCAGGAATTACTCCTGGCGGTGCTCGGGGGACCATATGGGATGCCAGGGATTGAGCTCAGGTCAGCTGTGTGCAAGGCAAATGCCCCACCCACCGTACTATCACTCTGGTTCCTTTCTTTTGTTTTTGGACCACACCTGGCGGTGCTTTGGGGACCATAGGTGGTGCCAGAGATAAAACCAGGGTCAACCTCATGTAAAGCAAGCACCTTATCATCTGTATGAATTCTCTGGCCCTTAAAATGACCGTATGCTGAACAAAGTCTTGTAGTCCAGAGACAGGGTGGGATCAATTGTTCTGCAGGTTTCTGTTTTTCAGCTCAGGGCTTAGTACCCCCAGCTGCTCCACAATCCAAGATGATCTTTTTTTTTTCCTTCTCAACAAAGTGATTGCCTTGGGTTTGGGAATGTGGCTTAGTGGTATAGCACAGTCTGGTGTGGGTGACACACTGGGTTTATCCCTTGCACTGCGAAACAAAACAAACCAAATCCAAGTGATTTCTTCCCCCGGGTAGCTGAATCCAGACGGGGTGAACAGGAAGGGGAGTGAAGCCTCTCTCCTCTCTGTCAGCGGCCTGGTTTGCTGTGACTTCTTCTGGACCTGTGTCTGTGCTTTGGGCCCAGACGAAAGTTCTCCAAAGAATGGGAAAGGAGAAAAGCAATTCTACTTAAATGCGCTGTTGCCAAGGAACACATCTAATTACTAATTCATGAGACAAAATGAGATTCGAGAGATAAGAGATATCTGTTCACCCTTTTGTTAAGCTCCGAGGGCACAGGGTCCTCAGAGGGAGCAGAGAGAGCACACACAAAGAAGCCCCCGCTCGCCGGGGACGCGGAGATTTTTAGAAGTTAGGAGAACTGGGAAGGAGCGGCAGCAGGACGCCTGAACTGAACCTGAAAGACATAGTCCAACGTCAGAATCTTTCACCTTTTGGTTTTGATGCCACACCTGGTGGCGCTCAGGACTTACTCCTGGCTCTCTGTTCAGGGGTCACTTTGGCAGGAATCGCGCTTGGGAGACCATTTGGGATGCTGGGATGGAATCTGGGTTGGCCACATGCAAGGCCAACGCCCCACGCACTCACTGTGCTATTTCTGTGGCCCAGAATCTTTGATTTTTTTTTTTTTTGCCACAACCAGTCGTGCTCAAGGCTTACTCCTGGCTCTGTGCTCAGGGATCACTCCTGACAGGCTCAGTAAACCATACAGGGGGCTGGGACTGAACCCAGATTGGCTGTGTGCAAGGCAAACACTGTACTGACTGTACTATGGCTTCAGCCTAGACATTGATTTTATTGTTTTTGGGTCACACTCAGTTCTATGCAAGGGCTTACTACTGACTCTGTACTCAGGAATCACTCCTGGTGGTGCTCTGGGGACCCTGTGAGATGCTGGGGATTGAACCCGAGGTTGGTCATGTGCAAGGCAAACACTGTACCGGCTACATTACTGCTCTAGCCCTGAAACTTTTTTGTCTAAGAGATCTTGGGCAAAGCTCATAACTTTCAACACTGACATGGAATAAGTAAGAGAAGAGGAGAGGAGAGGAGAGGAGAGGAGAGAGAGAGAGAGAGCAGAAAGGCAGAGAGGGAGGGAGTGAGGGAGAGAGGAGAGAGGAGGGATACACACACACACACACACACACACACACACACACACAAGTGTTAAGGCACTTGCCTTACAAGCAGCACTAGCAGATGCGGCCCCCAAACCGAAACTTAAAAATAAAAAAATAAAAATAGAATAATATATGTGATTGAGAACAGAGTCAAGGAAGATGAAAACAGACACACGGCTACAGCGTATATTGAGAAAGTTGCCAGCCTGGTGTCAGGGTCGGGCCCTGAGAGTGGCAGCCAGTGAAGACGGGCCCTTCTCTTCTGGTGTAACATCTCACCCCACGGCCCCACGGGGCCGGGGCAGGCAGTGTGGACAACTCAGCGATGGCCCCCACCCCAGGCAGTTGAGGCCAACAGCCCTGAGTCTCCAGTGCCGACCCCCGATCAGAGACTGGCCTTTCACCACAGTGGAGAGGGGAGGCAGCTGACACTCACGCAGAGAAGCCCCGGACGTGAGCCTTCTGGGCGGTGGCGGGCAGCGCCGGCCAAGGCCAAGGCCAGGTCATGCTGGCCTCCAGCGGGACGTGTTCCCTCTCAGCCATCTCCCCTCCCTTCAGCTCCATCCCGCTCTGGACCTTCTGTCTGGGTGGTCCTTCCCACAGACCTCTCCCCCCTCCTCAGACACATTTAACTATTTAGAAAGGAACATACAAAGGCCTGACTCCTGAGCCTCCTCAGGGGGACTGTGAGTCTCTGGAAATACACACAGCTTCCATCGCGGCCAGTGGAGGCCTTTACTTGTTCCTGGGGTTCCAGGCAAAGACAGTCCTCCCCCCGGCCCCTGCGGGATGGAGTAGGGGAGGAAGAGTATGTGGGAAGAGGCTGGGGGAGGGCGGTCAGGCCTCTGACGGTGCAGGGAGCACTTGACAGGAGCTGGGGTGAGGCTCACTGAGGGAGGAGGTCCCTGGAGTTAGAGCCATCAGATTTGCCTG